TACATACATACATATATAAACATGTGATTAACAAAGTAGTGGGGCAGGGGATTTAGCTCAATGGTTCTGCAGCCTGCCTCGCAAGAACAAGTTCCCGAGTTTGATCCCTGCTACAAAAACAAAACCAAACAAAACAAAAACAATATTGTGGATGAACCAATTCTTTTAATTAAGAAATTAAACTTCACAGGAATAATTTAGGCCTTGGAAGGCAAGCTTCTGTGAACTGAAGCTGTTTTATATTTCATCACAAATCGTCATATGGTTGTTAATAAGCATTCATTTATTCTGTTTCCTAAAAACACTTACTTCATCAATTGTTGTTTTACCAGGCACTTTATCACAAATATGACAATTCTCTGATGATGGTCTACTAGAAGCATAATCGGAATGAGGCTCACTGGTGATACATTATTCACTAAGATGACACTTTCTAGGAAGAATCTATTAAAAACCAATCTAGAAAATTCAGGAACTTTTAATTTATGGCTGCAAAACTTCGTGTGTCCTTATAATTGCTTTGCTAATGTACTTTATGCCGTGTTGTGCATGGGTTGCTTGGGAACAAAAGAACACAAGCCAGAGGAAGAAAACAAATTTACCTTTGAGACAGCATCTAAGCACCATGTAACTTATATATGAAGGATTCAGTCTGGCAATTACGAACCTTCTGTACTAACTTTCAAAGTGGAATCACTGGGCCATTCCAAAGAAATAATGAAATGAGAATTCTGAAGCTCTCTTACCCTCACTTACCATAATATAACAATGAAAAATGTAGCACAAAACTTCTAAGTGAGAGTTTTTGCTATCCTCATTTATTGTTATATTGTTTTGTAATCCTTAATGCAATACCTGCAGGGTTAAGTAACTTCAAAAATCAAAGTTCTATCCTCTGTTGTCTATGAGGATAGACAAGGAAAAGCTTCTCAATTTATGACCTGCTGAGTCTCTTTCTCAGATTTTTAACTTCTTAATGTGCTTTTTTGCTTCCTCCCAACCCTCTTCTGCAACACATATTTTTTTCACTATAAAATTTATTGCAATAAACAAATTAATTTTTTTAATACTAACAAATCATGGATGTAATATCTATAATAGAAGGTGGGATGGGTAGGGGAAGAGTAAAACCGGAAAAAAATGTGAGAGAATGAAAAGATGAAAATAAAGTATTTGTAGATGGGGAGGGGAGGAGGGGGTGAAGGGAGAGCAGAGTTAAGGGGAAAAAATGAGAATCAAGACTTGTCATGTAGAGGTACAAGATCCCAACAATGAATGTAACTGTACTGTATCCCTAAAATGTACCAATAAACTCAATTAAAGCTGAAAAAATATAGAAGAGCTTTAATTTTTATTTTGCTCATTAAATTGTGATTTCTAAATGTGCAATTCTACTATGTATGTTTAATGGATGCTGCGAAGAGTGAAAAACAAAAATATTTAAGAAACAACAATTTCTTAGTTTTACTACTTTAAACTTAAATATGCTTGTACAGATGCCAAACCATGTATCAAAGAAATGATATAAAAATATAATTAAAAAGTATCTCCAATAAACTATAAATGTTAATTTTAAGGAAGTAAAAAATGTCTTCTAAAAATAAAAATGAACAGATTAGCATGTAAATTATTCTGTGTACATTCATAAATTTTAATTTATAAAATAACATTAGCTTATTAAGTAATGCAAGTTAAATTTTTAAACATCTGCTAAATCATAGACTTTATGCTCCAGAAATAAAATGCAGTAACTCATTCACTGGACTTGATGGTACAGCAACGTACACAGGTAATCATTGCACTTGTGGAAAGGACACTAGTATAATAATTTTAAAACAACCTTTGGGTCAGGGATCTAGCCTAGGGGTTCTGTGGCTGCCTCGCAAGTGCAAGGACCTGAGTTAGATTATGGTAAAAAAAAACCAAAAAACCTCAACATTTCCTCCTTCATATTCATCAATCAAGCTCATTTTTAATACCAGTTATACAAAAAGGCAGAATGTATTTAGTAGAACAGAAAAATTTTAGCTAATCAATAGCCAACTTCATGAGAGAATGACTCCTAGGTAGGTAAAAGGTAATCTAAAAGAAGACTAAACTTGACCGTAGGCGAGGGCGACAGAGAGAAGGTAGGGACGCTTGATCGTTTAGCACAGACATTAAAGCGGTGAGATCCCTGAGAGGACCGGAGGGAAGACAGAGCGGCAGAGGAAGAGGGGGCGCTTACAAAACAGTCTGTGTCCTTTGGTCCCGAGCAGCCTCCAGCACATTCCCGATGGCAACAGTCGCTGACGTAGGGCCCGTAGCATCTCCCGTCACACTGTTCCGCACACACTGTTCTGGTCACTGCAGAACACAGAAGGAGTCTCTGTTAAAGTCAGCCACCAACAGGAACTCCTAAGTTTATTTCGAACAGCTAAGAAGAACTGAGTTCTGGGGTAATGGTATACTCAACCCAGGACTGATTCAAGTCAGCAAACATTTGTTTAGCAAATGGATTCCATTTAGATCAAAATTACTGTATAAAAAGTTTCAAAGTCATACACACACACACACACACACGTGTGTGTGTGTGT